TCTAATCCACAAATTGATAAACAATCCAATTCTGTTATCTAGATTAATATGAAAAATCTTGATAAAATTCTTGCAGGACCTTGCTGATAACTATTCTCCTCCTTCTGCTTATACTTTAAGGTAACAACTCAGTGCTTACGAGTAACTGATTGCAATGTTTTTAAAAATGGGAGCATGTTTGAAAGCATTTTGTAATGTTTTCATTTATTAATGAATTGTTTTGATTTTTAAAGTAATTAAACTGATATCTCAAGGCAATTCAATGGTTTTTCCACCTGGTCCCATTCCCCAGTCAGGCTTCTTCCACTACATTACATTTTTAGCCATTTTTTTAAAGACTAGTTTTGAAGTACAAGTTTGGTTTTCACCAGTAAATGTTTTTTCTTCGCATGGCTGGCTGGGGAATTTTTATTTATAAGTATCCAAATAATCTGTTCCTAAATTTCCAGAACATACAAGCTTGATAAAATTCTTGCAGGACCTTGCTGATAACTATTCTCCTCCTTCTGCTTATACTTTTTATAATTTTCAACCACTTGATCTTTTTCTTGATTTTTTTTAATTGCTACCAGAAACCTAAGGGAAATGTCATTTAAACATTTTCAAAAGAAATGAAAGATTTTGAGGACGTGAATTTCAGATCTTCCCTTTCAATTATCTTGACTTCTACATTGTTTTTGAACATCTTCAATGCTTGCAGCAATGTTCTGTTCATCAATCCCCTGTCTGAGTTTTGCATTTCGTAACCACAGAATTTTATCTGATAGTGAGGTAGCACTACTGAATTTCTAATGAATTAAGAAATGCTGAAGTACTTTCATTTGCTCACAAATTTATTTTGTAATTTTTCTAGCCACATGATCTCAGGCTTTGCCTGATCATTCCATTTTTATTAAAAACATGCGGGTGATTGCCTTAATGTTCATTCCTTGGGGCCAGACTATAAACACTGACTCTGCAAGGGTGGGACCCTTCATAAAACACTACAAGTTGTGCTTTCCAGCACTCTCTTCTATCTCTTCTCTTACATCCTCTTTTCATTAAAGTTCTAGTAGTTTTGGGTGGTGTTCCTTGTTTGTTGATAGGGCAAGAACTCTGCTTGATTCCCTTATTTGAGCAATCTGTGGCTCTGAAGAGCACGTTCTTTCTGCTTCCTTTGTTCTCTTGTTATTTTTCTAGAGGGATGGCCTTGCTCTTTCCTGCCAAAACTAATTTCTGATGGTATATCTTGAGGTTCCTCCTCCCCAACAAACTTCATTGCCTCCCTGGCCTTAAAAGACAATTGGAGTTGCGCAGCAGCTATCAAGAAACTCCTTGGCACTTCAGCACAATAGAAGAAAATATTGATTCAAATTAAGCACAAATGCTCATTTAAAGTTTATTTTATTTGGGTTATTTTCTAGCCTTTCCTTCTTCTTTATAGCCTTTCTTTCCACTCACGTTAATTCCATGTGTATTAGTTTACCATGCTATTACTCTTTGATATCAGAGGCAAATAACATACAAAAGTATGTATGTACGTACGTACGTATGTATGTATGTATGTGTGTATATATATATATATATATATATATATATATATATATATATATATATAGTCAAGCGATTATAAGATAACAGGTATAAGTATAAGCATGGTTATGAATACATGAAATGGATATATGCTAGTTATATATTTATTACTATATATTGATTTGGATGAAAAGCAAACCAAAAGAACAAGTCACCTCTTAAGAAAATACAAATAAACTATATTAAATGTG